GTGTTCTGCCACTTCTCACCGTTGGGCCCAGCTTCCTTTGCAAGCATTTTTGTGTTCTCCCAATCTTTGTCGAATAGGTCGGCGTGGCTCACCAACATAACATCGAGCACATGAGCGAACAATCTTGTAGCAGCCGGATCTCGAAAAGATGGTATAACAGAAGAAAGTGTGTGGGTTTCTTCGAACACTGTTTTTATATTCCCGACTGTCTTACTAATTCGCGCATCTTTTTTGAAAGAATGCATGACGGCAAAATTGGGACATGGAAAAAGGTATCTTTTAGTAAATGGTCTCTGTCTGAAAATGTATTCCTCAGTAGAGATATATTATTGTCAATTCGTGCGAAAGGATAATTATTTTCCAGCAATCTATTTGTCAGCCATTCCAACTCTTTAGTCAAGCGTTTGCAATCCGCAGTGGCACCGGTAGTCGTGCTGTGGAGTCGACTGATAGCCTCGCCAGCACAGTACACGGGCTCGAATCCCGCTGTGGGCCAGTTCAGGCGGGATCGAAACTGCAGCCTAGTCCAGTCCAGTCCAGCCGAAATGAGAACAGGTTCTCGGAGGTAAGGCTGGCATTGCGAGACCCATTCATCTGATCATGAGTCAATTCAGCCATTAATCGTCAAGACAAACAAAACGGGATATTGGTACTGTTTTGGTGGACATGATCAGGGCTGGTATCCTTTTTTTGGCGCTCAGCCAATCAGGCGGTTGCACCAAAAGAGATGCTGGCGTGTGCCTCTTTGTGAAACAGGACGGAATGACGCCAACGGCAACCGTGCCAGAGGCGGAAACAGCTTACGGCCGTTTAACATCACACCCTGACCCAAGAAATGCTTACAAAAAGACCGATGAATAGGAGTTAGTGGAAGAGAAATAGAAAAAGACAGTGAAAACGACAGAGCGGAGGAAGACGAGCTGAGAAAGCGATGAGACTAGAAAGGGCACGAAGCAGGCCTTTGAAGTCAGGACAGAGCAACCAGCACATTCACAAGCCTTAAACGTAGCAGACACGGACAGACCTGACAGTTTAGCCAATCAGAACAGTGCTGCTGGCATACGTTTATAACAAACTAATAGCAACATTATCAACATGCTTGTCTTGTCGAAGGTATGAACACCAAAAGGGTGTGACCTTTTGTGTGGTTGTAGTCTCCTTTCGTTGTATAGACGTCGTTTAACGTTGTTTTCGCAACTTGGTCATGTTGGTAGGACGACTTGAAGGAACGCACCCAGTCCGCATCATCATTTCCAGCGTAGGACCGTGGATGTGGTACATTCTCAGACGTTTCGCCGGCATCGTCAGTCAGTCTCACCATTCTTAGCACCACAACACAACTCGTCAAAGAGACAAATGAAACCGATTCTTTGACAAAACGTGTGTTAAACGTGTGATATCTCTCCTTCTGCCTTGGGCTATTTACATTTCCTATCACATCTTCACTGTTACAATTTTTACCGTGCTTATCTAAATGTGGTATGGTGTGCCTTTTTGAGCGGATTTCATGATAACTCTTACAAGCTATAGAATAAAACAAAGCTTGTTACGGACAAGAATATTAAAATAGCCCGTCATGAGCTTTTCGAATGTAGTAATGAACAGTAAATAATGTAATCGAATGTATGAAGGCCAAGATGGGGTAGCCTTTTGTGTGGTCGCAGTCTTCTTTCGTTGTATAGACGTTGTTTGACGTTGTTATCGCAACTTGGTCCTATTGGTTAGAAGACATAGAGACACGCATCTACTCCGAAGTTCAGAATGGATGTGGTACATTCTTAGACGTTTCTCCGGCATCGTCAGTGAGTCTCACCATTCTTTGCACCACAACACAACTCGTTAAAGAGACAAATGAAACCGATTCTTTGACAAAACGTGTGTTAAACAGTTGTGATATCTCTCCTTCTGCCT